CAGGGGAAGGTTGCGCGCGTATTGCAACCTTCTGCCGCTTGGTCCCCGGATCGTTTCACTCGGCCCTAGCAATAAGCTAACGAAAGCATCTGGCCATTTTAACCAGTATTTGGAGAATGGAATTAGTGCAACACGCATCGTCGTACGATAGGATGACGTCATGGCATGTTATTAGCGATATTCGCACATGGAAATAGTATGGAAGACGTTTCCCGCCATCGATTCCTCCGGGGAGTCAACCAATCACTTAAATTACTAGCGAGGAAGCCTTGCATGCTAGAATTGAACCATTATTCGCCTAACTACGCGACCATCCCTTGACTTCGCTTCTCAAATGCCTCGTAAATTATATAGCATTAAAATTGTTGCATAGTATGCAACATGCAATCTTCGTCAGCTGTTCGCTTTAGCTATATTCCTGTACATTCACTTTATTAATTAGAAAACTCAAGTTGCTATGAATACGACATAGAAGGACAAGGTTTTTTCCAAGGATGAATTAACAAACTAGACCTTGGGGAGAGCCAGTGCCAGGCCCTAGCTTTCGATCAGAGTAGAGCGAGATTGTCTATCAGCCCTTTAATCGGTGCTTTCACTTTGTATAAATTGTACTTGGTCCAAGCTATTTGGGATTGGACCAGCAACATTAACGCCAGCTCCCGTTTAAAACCATCGCTGCTTACAGCTAAGCAGGCGTATTTACCGTAACAGGTAAATATAACAGGATTCTTATAACCGCTATTTGTCTGTTCATTCAAAAATTTATTTTCTCCATGGGTCAACTAGTAATACAAATAATTAAACGGTGGCAAATGACCTATTTGCTAACACGCTTAGCAAAATTTTCCATAAAATTTTGCCAGCATATTTGCAATGGATGGTTGTGGCGTAATCATTATATGTGATCTTTGCACAGACGGACACAATAACGTTTGACTGACATCGGGGTAAGCGGTAACAAATGGTATCTGTAATTCAATGCCCTGGAATGATATCACTAACTTTATACAAAATATATAACTATTAACTGTAATTTAAAACGATCTGTCGTTAATGAAAAGTGTGTAAAGTATCAAGATTTTAAGTATCTCCAAATTTCGACATCTGCAGAATTTAATTTTGATGTCAAAATGCCTACTAATTATTAAAAGGTGGCAACGTATCCGCAGGCCTGCGGGTGTTGCGAATGCCAATGGGCGGCGGTAATCACTTAACATCAGGTGAATGGCCGGCTCGTGTGCCACCTTCTCGCATGAAAATAAAATAATCAGAGCTTTAGCCATATTAACGCTATGTCGGGCGAGTAGCGCGCTTAAAAATTCATTTTATTACTAACAAACGAACCTCAATAATGTAATGACTAAGCACTGGACGTTAAAATTTCTGGTTAACCGACCGTTTTGAAACATTGCGCTATGCAGCTAACCGAAGCGCGATTATGAAATTATGTTCGCAACAGCGAACAGTTAAAAATAACTCAAGGTATAAGAGTACATTATTGTTGATGTTGAGAGCTCTTACAAGCTCGGTTTAATAAAATACCTATGTAACACATGACGTTGTTAACTTTTACCGTACCACGGTACGTTGTTCGATGTCAGCCATACGAGTCTCACGTTAACAAGAACCAAGGAATAATCATTTATAGGTCATACATTTATTTTATGTGAGAAGGTAACGAGCGGGCGGTTCACCTGATGTTATGTGATAATTGCCGCCCATGGACATTTGCAACACCTGAAGTGCATTGCCACCTCTCAATAAAGTGGGCTCTGGCTACCTCTCTCGCCAGACGAAAGGCAGAAGTATAATACTACCACGTCACGACTATCTTCGGAGAGGTTGTGATACTTCCTCGGACGGACTTGCCCATTCCTGCAACAGTAAAGTCTGTTGCGTGAGCACGGTATAAGTCAGCACTTAAAATTAACAATTTCATTGGTGCCGGCACCGAGGATCGTACTCGGGTTGTTCTAGATTATTGAATTAAAGGCGAGCGCCCGAACACTGAGCTATCACGGCTTTTTCTTAGTAGTAAATAAGCTCACGATGTTTTCCTACGTGATAAATTGCGATAAAACTTCCATATGTGCCCTATATACCAGGGCTGCATAAGTGAAGTGACTTGCGCGTCTGCTTCTACAATCGTGCCAATCCGATTGCGGAAATCGTGACGCAACTACGCTCATGAATGCGTCGGTCAATCGATAAAAAGAGTAACAACTTGTGTCAGTGGTTGTTGTATATATTGATGAACAATTATAAAGATGCACAATCGGCAACGACCACGAGCCATAGTGGACGGTGCACTCGGGGAATCAACGGCACGAGATGGTTTCTCAATTAATAATTATTGATTAAATCATACATCTCCATAGATAAAGACGATTTAACACATACCATAAGTTCAGGTGAAAAAACTTTTTAAAAAGATGATCTCCGGTCAATGTCAGAACACAGATTATGACTCCAAAGGTGGAGATTCAGAAGAATAGTAGGTAATTATAAATAATAGGGAAGGTGCAAAATAAAAATATAAGCCGTGTATTATTTATTAAGGTACGACAGTTACGTTTACTTTCAGTGAATTTTAATCATGATAATTTAAACTGAATTAATACAGCAATGTTTTTCTATGGTGACACTGCTCAGCTGATTTTTCTTTCATCTATGACAAGGAGATAGCGAGAAAAATACCTCGCATGTTTATGGTGGCTTTGGCTTCCAATTTGTCGGCACAAAGTCTATAGGATAGTTTATTCTTCTATCATCATTTATACGAATTGAAAAGCCTCAATCCGTACACAATTTCAACGTTTCACAATCCTGTGTAAACGCATAAAAGACGGAAAAGGGCATATTTTATTTCATCACCGTAATAGGAAAAAATAAGACAAAACCGACCGTATCTCTGATAATGTGTTGATTAACAGACAAAAGACAGCTCAACTGACTTTCTATTAAATCATTACATACGGGTGGAAAAGTCGAGAAAACTGGTACTGAAGGCTTAGTGGCGCGCTCGGACTAGAGTTGTTTGTATTTTATGTGGAAGGGGTTGGTAAGTCCCAACAACCACTGCGACATAGAAAGATGTATTGTATCCATTCGAAAACATTGCTTACTGTAGGATAAAGATTGTCCTGTGTTGTAAGGACGTTTTACATATATCAATTTCACGTGTACAAACACCCAGAACCGAAATAACTATCTTGATCACAAAAATAGTTGTCCCGTGTGGAACCATCGAACCCACCACCCCTGGCGCCGAAGCCAACACCGTGGCAACTGCCACGGAGTCAAAAGACTTATACACACACGATCGTGTGTGTTCAAAATCTTAATTACTTACACAAGGCTACATCACTATGTCCCTTTGAGCCCGGAGTATCACGACAACTCACTAATGGTCTCGGTTCAAACCTTTTTTTCGTGGGAAAATCCTTTACGAATGCCACTGGATCGGGGAAGTGGCAGGGGTATGTGAGAGTCCCGGAAACGGGTTCCCAATAAAAAACTCACGGTGCACCTGTCTCTGTCGCATCGGCCGGGGACAAGGGAACACGTGGACGCAATCATCCGCGACCCCGGCGCGAATATGGCCTTCTTGGAAGCCTAGCTAAATGAATATCAGTTATAACTGTTTTCCGTGCAAAACGGTCGTATTGCCTATTTATCATCGAACTCCACACGACCAGTTTACGACAGTCGTAGCAGTTTTCTCTTTCACCGACGCCCATACAGAGAAAAGGAGACGGGTAGACGTCGAACATTTAATTAATCGTGCCACACGCCCAGTTCCCATGCTTATCGCGCTATCGATAAAACCGACATCGTGTGATTTTTAATGCGTCAACATTTCCTATCGATATCTCTGCGGTGTATAACGTACTGTCAAGAGACAGTGTCACAGTGTTATATACAATAAAGATATTATGCACACGTTTTCACGTGACCCAATGAATCGTCGTGATATTGCAATTCTATAATATTGTATTAACTCTGACACACATTGAATGAAACAATTGCGAATGTTATCATGACTAGTTTGGATCGCGAGATGGACTGAGTTGCAAGGCTTCCTGAAGTTACTATTAAGCTGGACTAGCCTCCGATTTAAAATCATCCATTTTAGTCCTAAGGGAAAAGAGTATGTGTTATACAAGGATCCTAAAATATACTATATTCCCAAGAACCTTAAGCCTAAGAGGACTAACAAGGCAAGTCCTAAGCCGAGAAGTTTCTAAGTAGTGTGACTTAAAGAGAGAAAAAAAAAGTATATCCAGATCCTGTTGTGACTAGCTGTATATTGATTCATGTATTTATTGGCACATTTGGACATGTTAATTATTTATAATGAAAATTCAGCAAATGAGCTACAGACAAAACATAATATTTGCATCAATACAATCATCAACGTAAATAAATAAACAAGTTGATTCTCAGCCAAAAAATAAATGACAAACATATTTTTCAGTTCAGCACATAAAAGTTAGTTTGTCATACATATTAATTTTAAAAAAATTGTGTAGTCGAGAATTATGACATCTCTCCAAAAATGCATAGGCAAACTTTTGGACTGGATGATTGTCTTACTGTGATGTACACAGTTAAACATATACATAAATAAGGAACACAGAAACTATGATTCCTAAAATGAAATCCCATTTGTCTGAGTAACTTTCAAAATGTGTACACTGCAGGATCTAATTCTAAATATCTTTTTATCGTTGGATAAAATTATATTCAGAATTAGATCTTGTCTAGGATGGTGAACGGACAGGTGATTTTATTGATTCTCAGTAATTAACCAAAGCCATGGACATGCAGTACCAGATTTACTTATCTTATCAAATGTATCTAATTTATTTTCTGAGCTTTTTAGGAAATCTAATGACTAAAACTGTATATCTTAGATAAGTTTCACATAAAAACATAAATGTTTAGTTTCTTTTAGTTACAAAATAGAAATTAAATAATGAATTAGAAGAAAAACAAACCTCTACAACTTTGTTCCAGAATGGGTGCATAACATAGACACTAAGAGGACTTGTATCTTTCGCCATATACTGAAAAGAAGAGAATAATATTGTTTATTTATGCGTTATTTTTGAGTAGTGTAATAAAAATACTCGGTGAAATTTAAATAACCACATCAAAAAACCCAGAATCATAACCAAAGTACTAACAGATCTGTATAGCACTAAATGAAATTGGAGAACTATTACTACCAATTACGATGTATTCATTTCTATTTAGTATTTTCAAACCTTATTGATTCAAAAATGATACAGACATTATATTGCGTAAAAATCGATATTTTTAGGTTATTTCACCGTCTAAATGTACTTTACCGGTGTTAGTGTTATTTAAATGGTTATAATCTTTACCTTATAATTATCGAACCCCTCCAGGTGCTCTTTACTGAGGTACTTATAATTAAACATTTTTATAAACTTTAGAAATTATGGAGTAGTAATTAAAACTTTTCGCTACCTACATAAAAATAAATAAATTGTTATGCTTAGTTGGAAAATACATTATAAATAGTTTTGGTCGAGTAAATTTTTTGCGTCGACGATATTACTTCACCACTTTATCACAATATAACACCACCCCTTTAATACAGAACATCGTTACTCAAAACTCAACTGACCACTGTTATTTCTAAACCAGGACTAATTATTATGTATATAAATATAGTAGCTCTAGCTATTCATAAGTAGTACATTAAATTGCGTGGTAATGCAAGCGACTTTGCATCTTACTACAATGACCTAAAACTTCAAATGGGATAAGGCATTGAGATTGACATATAATGCGTCATACTGTACAAGCATGAAATTGAAAGGAAGTAAATTGTTGCTATGGATTCTTATATTTTGGCGCACAGTGAAAAAAAAAAAATTTGATATGAAATACCAAATAATCAATATCTGAATATGTAAAATATGTCATTTATAGGTTATAAGTGTAAAAACAAACGAATAAAATAATTAATAAAATTGTCTGCTCACTATGCAGCAGTTAGTAACTTAAAAAAACTGTTTTAATTTATGGATTTTTGCCATCGTGTCTGCCTACGGTGTTCCATCAAGATATTGCCACATATTATTATGTATTATTTTGATGGAACAGGACTAATGCGGTAGTTTATGTTTCAAATCAATTTTGAATCTGTCCAAAAGTTCCGAATAGTATTCGCCGGTTATCGTTTTCTCTTTTGAAGGTAGTCGTTGTGAATGACACCACGTACACATGGGCATGACCAAAAATTGGTCATGACCATGTGGTGCACCTTTACCCGTAGTAACCCACTGCCGCGATGGTTCCTTGGTCGCTGGTGTGTTGTGATGGATCCGTGTTTCGTCCACAGTTACGAAACTGCGCAAAAGCTCATTTTGATTCCGACTAACTATCACCAAACATTGTTCGAAGTTGTCACACGGTTGCGCTTATGGGCAATCACGGCACCCTTTACATCGTCTATTGTATCATATCAGGATGTATCTATTGAGTTGATATGCCCAAAGAGTACCCTTCACATGGATAGCTTTTCCACATCCAAATATGTTAAATCCATTGAATTGACATGTCAAAAGCCTCAGCCATCTTACCCAAATTTTCTTAAGAAAATGATCTGAACTCGTTTCAATGTAAAATAATTTATTTGAATAACTTCTTAGTTATATACAAAAAAAATCTCGAAATAGTTTGCAGTACATTTTTTAATAAAATTTTGTGCTAAACTTCCACGTATAACGCTGGTATCGCGTTTAGCCATTGTCTCCACCCACAAATCTGTGTGTAACTTTCGCAGGCGCACAGTATGATATACTTGTATTACTGTTCACTGAGCAGAGTTTCAAATTCGAGTTTAGAGTTTTCGACTTATGAAGGATTTCGACTCATATAAACGCGTATTTTGATTCTACTTCTGGAGGTAAAGACTGATCAAATATTTCGGTCGTTTCCTATCTACAGCTTTATTTATTTATTTATTTATTTAAAGTACAACCACATCATATATATTGGACATTTACATAGTTGATTTGATTATAAAAACTTATTGCTGATACATATGAAAATGACGGTGTACATAACATTGACAACATATGAAATAAAAAAGTGGGTGTTAGTAATATTACGTTAAAAATTAGAAAATGTTTACAAATAGAATTAATGACTACTACAGTTTTGTAAGCAGCTGTTTAAATTTATTCAGACTCAATTAAATATATCCAATCGGTTATTTGTTTAACTAAGTAGTTGTATTCTCTAATTAATCTAACTTGAGGGGATTGTAGGCCAAGGTTTGTTTTTGTAACTGGAATGTGAAACAAATTACCAGTTTTCCGTCTATTTGTTCGTGGGACAGAGAAGGAGAGACTTTCGAGGAAGCTACTGCATTTAATTTTGCCATGAAGTAATCGATTTATCTAAGGTGTAAAGAAAATTCTTTTTCTTTCGAGTTGCTGGTTTTCTCTATAAAATTCCGTAAAGTATGTTAATAATGCTCTTTTTTGCCTTTTTGATGGAAACGCATGGAGCTAATAATGTATTTTTTAATTCATCTTTCATTTAAATCATTAGTCTCTGTTTTCTGAGCTACTGAATCGATAATTTCGTCTTCACATAATGTTACAGCAATCACAATTCCACCATCGCCGTAACGAAGTTATCAAAGGATATTCGTGATTCAAACTCCAATTTATTAAATTCTGCACGAGGTGAATAGAAATATCTTCAACTTCTGCTTCTTCTGTTGACGACGAATGGGAAATCACAGTGTAGGAACAAAGTAGTTTTTTATAGTAGTCGTAGATACATCTCGCCAAACCTCTCAAGACTTATATATCAATATATCTAGATTTTCTAAGTTTCGAGTAGAATTTTTTTTCTGTTATATTATCCAACAACTTCTTTTTGATATAATGAATTATGTTTTTATAAACTGTATTGATGTTCAACTAGTTATCACATAGTGAGCCTTGGCTTCAATAGCAACAACTGCGGAGCTTAATTTAGCATCCCAACTTAACGCCTTCGACCTAGAATACGATGCTATGTTCCAGTTTTAATCTGTCACCTTCCGAAGTAAAATAGCAATTCGACACTCATAAGAATTGCATCCTGAGACGTGACAGGATTAAACTGTATCATAAATATTACTAAAATGGTATCTATATTTTTATATTATCTTCAAACAATTCATAAAAGTCTTGCCTCTTGTGAGCTCCCACGACGTGCACTGCGTCAATAATAAATTTTGATTTAACATAATTTTTTTTATGTTATGAAAACTATGTTCAAAGTTAAAGTAAGTCATAACATTAAATTGTGGTTTAATACTGTAATTGATTGTTAAAACTGAATTGCACCTAAGCGCAATTGAGATGGGTCTCTTTATTTGTCTCTTATTCTTAATTTTTGTTTTTTTAAATAAATTACTTGTTGTTTTTTAAATAATTTACTTGCAGTAATTAATAAAAGTCGATGTCGTCATGGACTTTTATTCGGAGACTAGTTTCCAATAATTAGATTAGATTCTGACTTATTTACATCCCGCCACAACTGTGCTCGATGTACATTAGGTTCTCTGAAATTTCGAGGGTAATAAGGAACTGAAGCATTGTATCTTTATTATTTTCAAAACTATGATCTAAAGTTAGAGATGACAACTAAATTTCATAGTTACTGTAGCAGTCAATATTTCAAGCATAGTCTCTATAAAATTCCTGCCCAAGTTCTAAGCTAATATGACATTATTAGATATTATGGGTCAGCTTTTGCTTAGACATGTGAATGAGACAAATTTTAAACAATGCTATTTGCTGTCGTATAAAATTAGGGTAATAAAAAGTATAACCAAAGAAACAAAAATACTAATTTCACTTTTCCCTTCACGCGAACAAGTTATAAAGAACAAATATTAAAAGGGAAGAAATATTTCAATTAAAAGTTCCACCAACAATGGCGAAGGAACTTTTTTTATTTATAAAACGTTGACAAGTGAGCAGGAACCTGATGTTAAGTGGCTACCAGAGCTCATAAATATTTATAACACCTGGCGAGTTTCAGATGCATGTCCAACCACTAAAAAGTGGTGATACCGAGCCCCGGCTACCTCACTCACCAGAAGAAACGCAGTTGTGTAATACTTCCATTTCACGCTGGTCTTCTGTGGGGCTGTGGTACTTCCCCGGAAATGTCTGCTCATAAATGCAACAGCAGAAGCTGCTGCGTGACTCTACCACAGCGAAACCGATTCCACATTACTCTTTCATAGCATTTCTTTCGTCTTTACATATTAGTCTTCAAGAAAAACCAAACAGTAGTTAAATTATTAACAGGTGAAAAAAACCCCGGACAATACCACATTATCTTTCCGTTGCACGCTTGTCGGATCGAAATATCGAATAGATAAGATACGTATAGATCAATCGCTACGAGGAAGAATGTGATGCTAATATGCAGAAGCTCGACAATGACGAGACATGGTCAGTTAACAATGACACCAGCGATGCACTGATAGAGAATGCCAACGAACTCGCCAGCAGCTTGGACGGTTGCGAAATCGTTGACGAGATCTTTGTCGATCGGGCCACAGAGAGGGTGGCAATAGACGGATACATGAAAGCGCCGCCGCAGATAAGCGTCCTCGAACCGGAGGATTACGACAAAAAACAAATACACTCCCCGCAAGTGATCGAGGAGGAGCCGAAATACGAGTACAACACTAGGGCGTTGTCGAAACACGCGGCGACTTACGAACTGGAGAAGTTTGAGAAGAACTGCCTGATAATATTCAATCAGGAGAACGTGGACGGCTACAAGCCGAGGCACGGCACGGAGAAGGACGTGCAAGCGCTGAAGAACACTTTCTCCAACTTCGGCTTCGAAGTGACCGAGCATAAGGACTTTACAAAGGAAGAAGTGTTTAGAGAACTGAAGGCGTGTAAGTAGACATATTGACCTTGGTCCAATTTCGAAGATTTATGGCAATGGATTGCTAAAGATGGTTATAAATTGATTCAAACTAAGGTATTGTGGATACTGTATATTGTGTATTTTGTTTACTATATTTGTTACGTTTATATTTATTGCCAATAGTTCATGAGTTGCGACGTGTTCTCAAGGTTGTATTTGGGACTGACGTAACCTAACTTAACCTAACAAATATTTAGCTAAGCCGTCATTTAACGGATTCCGATATCTAAATAAGGTAATCAACATTAACCTGACGTAATATTGTCAATGAAACAATCATGGTATACAGGTTCAATCAATGCCTCTAAACTCTAAATAGCATTTTATTTAAACAATTTCTTTGTATATTCTCGTAAAAAACACGTTGTTTTGTTTACGACATATTACGTTCATAGTAAACAGCATAATCGCGGTTCATCTGATAATGCTGTTATAAGGATGTGAGTAATATTCGTTTATGAAACAATAATTGCTATTGAGAGTTTTATATAGAATAACTCGAGGTACCTACTTAAAATATACTATATCCTACCATGAACCCCTTACAAGATAGTAAAATAATAATGACTAACGCAAAAAGAAAATAATCGTGGTGTGACAACTAGCAAAGAAATGAAGTAATGACAATTGTCAAATAATAATTACTTTAAAAAACTTTTAAGTTAAACGGTTTTATTTTATGTTTTTTTTTGTTAAATTTTTTTTTGTTAATATTGTATTGTCATCTAAATTAAATGTGTGTACCAAATTTCAGATCAATCTGACAACGGCAAGGTGCTTAAATTTCAATTTCTAATTTTGACCCAAATAAATAAACAAACAATTCCGTACGGGTCGAGCTAAATAAAACCGTTTAAAAATGTAAGAAATATTTGTTTGTAAGGCCGGCAACTTTTCAATCCACCATCGTACCAGTATATCGGTTTATTTAAATAATTTTAAAAGAATTAAAATTCGAACAGGCTTGTAGAAAACAGTCCTTCTGTGTCACAAAAAGATTGTTAAACCCATAAGTTGTCGTCTAAGCAGGCCTAAGGCCTGACTAAATCATTGAATCCACTAGTAAATACCACAGTTTTCTTCGCATACTGTACTGCCCTTAACCATTTGTAAATTATATTGTTAGTTTTCAGCAAAGGGACGACTCATATAATATCGATCCTTTATCGAGCAATCGGACAATGGACGAGGTTATATTATGTATGAGTAGTATTTTTTTTTATATTTACGCGAATGTTACAACATTTTTAAATACAACAGCGTTCATTGTCTAGGAACATCTTTGGATAATAGGGTTAAATGTGAAAAATCTAAGTTTAATTATGTCTGCCAATAACTAAATAATTTTTTTTAGCAATCCGTAGATACATACGTGTATTGTATGTTAGTTCATTAATGCTAATAGTTGAAAACATTGTGGGTAATAAAATGGTGTGATTTTGATTACGGATTTCCGCAAATTGCATAGTATTTGCACAATTGCATGTTATATTGAAATAGTTATATAGAATTACGCAGATGTTAGAGTTACAAATGTTATACTTTGTAGAGAATTTTAAATTTAGATGTTCGAAAAAATTTTGTCCTATATGACAATTCGCCATTCTAAAAGAATTTAAATGAAAAAAAAAAGATATTTTACCTTATGGTAAAAGCACTTAATTAAAAAAAAAATGGAAGCAAACATGGCCCGCATGCCCCTTTATATATTATCTTTATTGCCGCTTGATACCTTATTCAAATTCTACTAGTGATTTATTTGGACGGGGAACTTTTTTATATCAGACCGAAGAAGCCTTGGAGATTGTTGTCCCCCTTTTTTTTGTTGACGTGGGGGAAATGCCAACGCATACACGCCCTTGCGGGGGCAAGAGCGGGTTATGTCGGACTCGCACCGACTAAAACCCCCACGATGTTACACCAGGCGCATATCGGCAGGGTCACGGGAACGCTTTCGCACACTTCCGCGATCCTGCCAGCGCTGGCCGTCTTAGCAGCCCCCTCTCGGGGAGCAACTCCCCTCTCCTCCAGGTAAGGCGCGCTGGAACATTCAGCGCGCCTTACTCCTACTCGGCCCCATTTTCACGGCCAACGAACTCCTCCGAGTTCGCTGACCGGGGCCATGGGAGCCAGGAGATCCAGTGCTAATAAGCAGCAAGCCTCCCAGCCCCCAGCGGCGGACCTGGTCTGTGGCTCCGCCGCTCACCACGTTTCGGCCGCGGAGGATAGGGAGAACGGCGCACCGCAATACCGACACTCCTCTCCCTCCGCGGCCCCACCACAGCTGCATCAGCGGTGCAGCCCCGCCGAGTCGCGGAGGATAGGGAGCACGGCCAACGCAATACCGAGACTCCTCTTCCCCCGCGACTCCTCCTCGGTAGCAGAAGACAGGGAGAGTGGCTCCACCTCTACCACCCTCGACCTGTCCCCTGCACCCTCCAGCACGCATCCAGAGTGGGCTCAATGAGCCCACTCGGAGCGGCCCTCTCGGGCCGGCCTTACACCACAGGCCGGCCCAGTGTGGGTTCCTCTTAGCTTCGCCGTGGGTGACCAAGCCACGGCTACTAAGCCCCTCCGCCACGTCAAGGCGGGAACCCGGTCGTAGGAGAGATTGTTGTCCCCTACACCAAGTACTAGACATCCGACGTCCGATTTCTGAAACAATGTTCATCATAGATGTTAACTAATCACCTGTCAAATAGCTTTTCAAATTTTTTAATTTCAGTTTTCAATTTAATTTCAGTTGATAGGAACGATCTTCTTAATTATCAGAATGAAAAATAACAAAAATAATATTACGCAAACTGCAGTAAATGAATTTGATGATGAATATAATGTATGCCACTACTTGTCAACAAACACAGGCATACGTCAAATATTTTCTAGTTTGGAGAATAAATTAAAACATTTTACGAAAAATGACTACTGTGTAATAATGATTGGAGAAGCAGATTTCCGAACAACAAATAACAATTATAGATTAGTGTCTTATATTAGAAACAAATGTGTCAATTTGCATAACACAAATATAATAATATGTCTGCCGACGTATAAATGTGGACCGCTTAAAAACCTGTACAATTGGAGAATAGAGACTTTTAATAATCTATTATATTTAGACTGTGAAGCATATGAATATGCGTATATACTTGATTCCAACCGTAACCTCACATACGACGAGAAGATGTTTAATAGAAAGTCTGGACACTTAAATAACTTAGGACTTAGGACAATTTTCTGTAACTTACGTGATAAAATTAACGAGATAATATTTTATAATTCAAAAGATGATAATAATGGCAACATAATTATTAATAGTACTAATACAATACCGACCAACAAACAAAGTGTAAAAAATATAGATATTAATAGTGAAAATTTTTTTCTCCAATAGATTTTTATACATACTGCACCAAAATATTGCCGGTCTCTTAAATAAAAGTGATTTGTTAACTTTACACTTAGAGGATATATCTGTTAAAATAAAACAGCACGTTGATATTGTATGCATAACTGAACACTTTTATATCATCCGGTAATAATGAATTTTTAACACTACCAAACTACACTCTGGCAGCTATCTATACACGAAACATCAAAAGGGGTGGTAGTTGTATACTTGTAAGGTAAAAGGTATATCCTTCAAAAACTTACAATATATATCAAACTATTGCGTGCCAGAAGTCATAGAATGCTGTGCTATTGAACTCATAAATTATTCAACTATAATTATATGTCTGTACAGAGTTCCCAAACTAAGTAATATCTCAGTATTTTACGAAAAACTTGATATTATTTTACGCAAATTGAATAAAAATAAACAAAAAATTATTTTATGTGGTGATTTTAATATTGATATACTGAAAAGAAATAACCTGGCATTAGAGTTCAGTAATTTCTTATTAAATTTTAATCTTCATTTATTATTAAAGGAACCAACAAGATTGAAAAGTAACACATGTTTAGACAATTTTGCTTATAATGCACCTATTGCTTGTAAAGGAGAAGTTTATAATTTAGGCTTATCGGACCACACTGCACAGCTGTGTAAATATCCTGTTGCAAAAAAATTCATTATTGACACATGGAAAATAAGACGTCGAGATTATAGCAAGGAAAATATGAATAAATTTAAATCATACATTGAATCACTTACATTTTCTGAGTTGTATACAGCAAATGAACCTAATGATGCCTACAATAAATTTATAGAAACTTTTAAATTAATTTATGATTTGTGTTTTCCCATTAACACAATTACTATCCAATTAAACAAACGGGTTAAATGGCTGACTAAAAGCATCAAGTTATGTTCTAAAACACAGAGAAAAAATGCTATGGAGATACAGGCTAAATCCCAATGAGCAAACAAGACTGCTTCTAAAAACATACACTCATAGACTTAAAAAAAGGTTATTAAGCTTACACAAAAAGCTAGAAATAATTATAGAATTAAATTATCAAATAACAAATGTAAAACTATTTGGCAAATTATTAATGGAAATAAGAGTTATCACCCTCAAGAATACATTGAAAAAATAAACTTTGGTGATGATAATGCTATCATCAATAATCCGAAAGACATTGCCGATGCATTTAATAATTATTATACTGACCAAGTATTGGCATCTCAAGTTTTAAGAAATAATAAAAATATCACATTAGAAGCATCTGCGCATTCATTTTTTATGCCACCAATCATTTCTCTAGATGTTTCAAATGCTATAAAGTCACTAAAAAACACAAATAGCGTTGGATACGATGAACTTTCTACACGTGTCATTAAGTTAGTCAACAAGAGTGTTTCTCCACATTTAAGTTACATATTTAACTTATGTGTACAAGTTGGTGTTTACCCAGAGGGTCTTAAAACAACTGTTATTAAACCACTTTATAAAAAAAAAGGGTTCGAAAGATGATATAAGCAGCTATAGACCCATTGCCCTTACACCAGTTATATCGAAGATTTTTGAAAAGATTATGCATAAATACCTGAGTAATTATCTCGAAAAATTTAATCTATTAGTGGATGAACAGAAGGGATTCAGGAAAAATAAATCAATTAATAGAGCAATATATGATTTATTAAATTTAATAATCAAAAACATTGATAATAAAATAGATATCTGCGCTCTGTTTTTAGACATGAGTAAAGCTTTTGACTATGTAGACCACCAAATATTATTGCATAAAGTTGAATATTACGGAATAAGAGGTAATATTTTAAATCTGATTCGGACATACCTGACCAATAGACAACAAGTAACACAAATAACTCGAATCGACATAAAAATGAGAGAAGAAAAAATTTACACATCTAATTCTCGATATGTTCGGTATGGCGTTCCACAGGGAAGTGTGTTAGGACCATTGTTATTTCTTATTTACATAAATGACTTACCTAAATGTATTTCACACCCCATGGTTTTATTTGCCGATGATAGCACAGCTATCATTAAAAGTGTTAAACATGATCTAGAAGACGAATTAAATTTAACACTAACACAAATAATTGAGGAATTGCAAAAAATAATTTACAAGTTAATTTGGTTAAAACTAAATTTATAAAGTTCTATCAAAGATGTGCAAATGATTTAAATTTAAAAGTAATACACAGAGGAAACCAAATTGAAAAAGTTGACTACACAAAGTTTTTAGGCTTGACAATCGACACTAGATTAACATGGACTTATCAATCGGACATAGTGTGTAACAAAATAAGTAAAGCGGCATATATTCTATGGAAATTGTCTAGCACCTTAAACATTGAATCACTGTTAACTGTATATTATGCCTATGTAGAATCGCATCTTAGATATGGAATCATATTCTGGGGAAATTGCAGCAAGAAAGAAAATATATTCAGGTCACAAAAAAAAATGCGTTAGAGCGATGTGTAAATTAAAAAACGAGAGAAAGCTGTAAATCTTCTTTTATAAAATATAAAATATTAACCATGCCGTCGTTATACATATTTGAGAGTGCGATGTTTGTAAAAAAATAACTTGTCTCTTTTCTCCAAGCCCAACCATGAGCGAAGCAGACGTGACTTACACAAACTTTGTTTACCTAAAACTAATACTAAACTTATGAGCAAGAGTATACTCTGCATGGCACCAAAAATATATAATAGGCTCCCGAAAGAAATGAAGGAATTAAACACAAATCTATTTAAGAAAAAACTACGCGACATGTTAACAGAAAAAATGTTATTACAGTATAAACGAATTTATATCAAATTAATAATCTAAACGTATTCAGTGAATTAATAATGTGCAATTTTATCGAATTTTTTATATTTTTTTAGTCATTTAATTATTTGTCATTTGTTCTCTGTTCTATTATTACTGTTTGTTAACTTACTTTTTTCATAGACATATGTTTTAATATTATTTTAATATTCTGTTATATAATTTTTTTCAATTTTATTTTATGATTATAATAATTAAGAAATTTGAGAATGTATACTGACAACCTTTAAGCGAACATATCATATTTGCACACCCTACAAAATGGGTAGAATATAGCGATAAAAAATTACTGTGTTGTACACCTCATGCCTAACCTATATTTCGCAAATAAATACATTATTATTATTATTATTATTATTATTATTATTTATTATTATTAATGATCAATTCAAAGAGTTTAACCATCAATTGGCAACAAATGATATTTGAAAAGCTATTTGACAGCTTTTACAATGATCAGTGTTTCAGAAATCGGGCGAGAGTCCGGTAGAGTTCTGAATTAGAATGGCGTAGTTAAATCAAACGACGTTATATTTTACATATTTATATTATTTGGTTTATAATTTCTGAAGTTTTGAACGCTAAATATGTATTCAGAGTATGGTAGGGACAAGCTGGGGCATTAAGTCTTGAAGTCATAATTTAGCTTAAACATTACAAGTTTCATAATACACCGGGTGTATACTTTATTTTACCTTCATAATATTGAATCATTTCAAATTTGTCATCGTTACTTGTGTTTCTAACAGCTTTTGTGGTGTTCACCTTGAAAGTAAAAATAAATAGTATCTAAGTATTAAATAAAATAATTAAGCAAAAATTTAAATGCTTTTAGTGCAAATTTTATTTATTATATTATTTATTCATTTACATAAAGTAAATTAATAAATTTTTTCGGTAGGGTACGGCCCCGCATCTTCTTCAAGTAAAAAAAAAATAAGTAAAAAAATTTTATCATGATATATTAAAACCTTCTCCGAAACACGCTGCATCTTATGGTATAAGTGCTATTCGGTTCAGTAGTTTTCGCTGCTACACCGGCTCTCCATTTATTCGTATAGATTTTTATCATCATGACTACACTGAATTGAGAGCAAGCGGGTGGAAGTTGAGTTCATTGAGGTAGTTGAGGTTATACATTTAGTGACGCTTGCTCTTCATCTTCAGTTAGCGAGAGAGATTTCACCGACTATGGCTGCGTAGCGGTTGCCGTGCTGACGCATGGCTCCCACCACGGTCTACTGCGCGCGAAAGACCAGCCCTACAGCGAGATAGAGATCATCAACCACTTCAAGGTCTACGACAAACCCACGCTGGTCACCAAGCCGAAGGTCCTCATAATACAGGTGAGTTTTAACCTCACTAATTATTATATTCTTAAGTACTCTTCGTAGGAAGGTCCTTCCACTTCCACTCAAGGACACTCGTCCCTTCATTTTAGTTCGTGGTTAGTACAGTTTTTAATGAAGAACTTTACCCGTACGAGATATTCGCACAGCACTGTGATAAGTAACTTAATGGTGATGTACTTACCATTTGTTTTTCAATGAAAAAAAGTGGCAAACAAACAGAAATCACCTAAAGTTACGTGATAACGGGCAGCGGCGCGGACACAAACTCGAAGGTTTGTAGCGCTGCCAACTTTTAAAGTCACCCAGGACCAAGAGCTGAAACGAAATCCCGGTCCCGGTTAACTCATCTAACTCATCTAACTCATCTAAACTATAGATACCACACTCACTCGGACGTGCCAGCATGTTCATTCATACTGCAAAAGCTGCTACATACTGTACCATAGTTTGAAGATAAGCGACATGTTTATTTACCATTTGTTTCTAGTTTGGCAGGTCAAATGTCCCCGTTGACCAATACGTTTTGTTGTAAAGTGCAATGAACATTGACTATTTTCTTTATGAAATTTATGCTTACTACATTCCATCGCGTTAACCATCTGTCTCGCTTTCGGTCCTAATGCGGTGGTCAACAAATGGTGTTACAAGTTGGTTATCTCGGTGCACTATACTTGTACTTATTAACATATTGTTAAAGCTTTAGATAGCATAAACAAAACCCTAACGGAAAAGGCATTATTATAATGTATACACATACATACTTGTGTGGAAATGACTCTTACTCTGTACTTGCAAATGCCCTGGCTGCTGCTGATTTTGCAATCTGGAAAGGCAAGGGAAATAGGGGAAATTTACTCGGAGGCTGGTACGAAGGTGGGACTTAAGAGTGCAACCTCGCTGCCGCTATAGGCATCCATAAGTGATTGTCTCACCCTATGTGTTGTGTGAAGCCGCATTTTTCGAAAAATAATAATACACAGAGATTGCCGTTGTAGAACGCGTTGAGTGAATGATAACATGAGGCTGCCAATTGTGACAGAGGGTGGGAATCACGCGATGTGAGTCATCCCGGATACCTGTTGAGATAAACCAGATAACGGCCATTGCCAAAGCGGACAAGTGCATCGCTTCAAAACCCAGGACATTAGTCAGTGTACCGTAAAAACAAGGAGCTTGGATTGAAATATTTATTCTAAAATGATTCTGATACTAATGATATTCTTGATATCTTCATTACATGTTCTTTTTATAATCATTTGTCTGTGTTATCTAAGTTTTTATCTTATTTTCAGTATTATTCAAATACCCGCTCCGCGAGGCCTCCATGATTCTTAGTTGTAACTTTATCAAGAAAGTTATTTTTATTATTATCAAAATAAATGTCATATTCATGTTTCAACGGTTATTGTATTATTTTAGTTTTACAATGTAACACCTATAGATAGGCTTTATTAAAAGAAAGGCCATAAAATGGCTTCTTTCTGGGAGGCAGGGCATCTTTTGAAGAAGGATTTAATATTATGGTACATTATGCGGATGTGTGAAGTATGCAATAATTCATGTAGTTTAATAGAATTCATTGACTATGATGACTAAAGACATCCGCTCGCCTGAAGATCATTTTCTATCTATGAGATTGGTTTATCTGACCTTACATAGAAAAGGAATAACTTATGAAGTTGAGGTTAAAAAGAGTGTACTCGCTTTCTTCCTGTATAAATTTTAGTTATTATTTTTTTGATTGCTTTTTTATTGTTGTCACAAGTTGCACTTTTATTCGTACGTGTAGAATTAACATTCAATTCTAAGCACACAGTACTTTTTCCGCTTTACCAAGTTTAGTTCCATAACCTGACCTACAACGGAAGCTGGACCTATCACAGTTAAAAAATATATTTTTTTTATGTGACAAAGTGACCAAGTTAAAATATTTTTAGCCACAAGGTTGTCTGGAAGAGATCGTTCCTTAGCGATAAGACCGCCTTATTGTTTATACCTCTTAATTTTAAAGTTCTGGAACATTTCCCTTCATGTTTTATGGTGTTCAATAAAGTATATATAATATAATAAAGTGGCAAGCGAGCTGGCGGTTCGCTTGGTGTTAAGTGATAACCGCCACCTATGGACATTTGCAACACTCGTAGAGTTGCAAACAGTGGGATCTAGGCACCTCATTCACGACGAAACGCAGAAGTGAAACACTTCCATTCCTCACCAGTCTTCTATAAGCTCTGAGTATTTCCCGCACGGACCTGCCCATTCGTGCAACAGCGAAGACTGCCCATAGCTTGATTGCTCGATAACATCACCTTTTCTTATTAAATTAGGCCTGCCGCGGGAAAAACGAAATGCAGGGTGTCGCCGTTCTGCAGATGGGGAAGATCAGGACGGACTACGACGAGTCCCTGGAGCCCTACACATTGCCAGCGGAGTCCGATATGCTCATACTGCACAGCTCTTACATCGGCCACCCGTCTCATAGGTAAGGGCGATCGGAAATCCCCACTGGGAAAAGTTTACCGCGCAGAAGCTATCATAAATCCTTACTAATATAATTTTCAAAGTTTGAGGTGGATGGATGTTTGTTAGCATTTGATGTCAAGCCGTAAAAAACATAGCCAAACAAATTAACAATGTGATTCACATGTTGTGCCGACCCACCTAGGTGGGATAAGGACAGGAGAAAGGAGTAAACCATATAGATTTTGATAATTTAAACGGCGGCAGGCCATGCTTCTGAATAGAAATTATTGTCCGGGGAGAAACATGGCCAGAAAACTGGCGTGAAGTGGAGGTGTTATAACTCTGCGTTTCATCTGGTGAGTAAGGTAGCCGAGGTCCATTTGTTGATGGTTGGCGACTTGTCAAATGGCGTCAAAGTCAATGGCGGCGGTATTAAGTTAATATAAGTGATATTAAGCTACCGTATAGTACAGCGTGCCAACTTTTCACATAAAAATACAGGTTTAACTTTTAGAATTATTTTTTTAAATTCTAATCTTTCAACTGAACTGTAACTTGAATTGTGATTTTTTTTTAGATAAAGGAACAAAAACTCTCATCCGGACGCGAAACCAGAAGACGCAGGCTTAATCCCGCAGCGACGAAAGCTTTTGTCCATTTATCTACAAAAAATATATTAGTTAAACTTGCTTTCCGGGGTGGTTCTCACCCTACAGTAGACCGGCATAAAGTGTAAGTATAATACTTCTGCGTTTCCTCTGGTGAGTGAGGTAGCCAGGGCCCACTTTATTTAAAGGTGGCAACGCATCTGCAACCTTACGGTTGTTACAAATGTCCATCGGACAGCGGTTATCACATAACATCAGTTGAACCGCCACATCGCTTGGCATGTTTTTAATATCATCATAAAAAATATATCCAAATCTAACACCCGTTCAGGAATGTAGACAACAAACCATAAGAAACTTTGGGCCAATAACTTCTCTATTATTCCACGTTACACCGCTCGTAGGGACGAGCTCTACGGCTCCTGGTTCGTGCAGACGCTGTGCCACAAGATCAGCCAGCTGTCCGCCAGCCACGACCTGGAGTCCATCATCACGGAGGTGAAGCGCGAGGTGGCCGTGGAGAAGTACCACGAGGAGTACAACAGGCGGACGCTGGAGATGGACGTGAACAAGCAGATGCCCGTGACGACGTCCACTTTGATAAGGAAGCTCTACTTGAAGCGCTTCGGCGATCAGCCCTCGACGCTGACGCCGTCTTACAACGAGGAGGTGTTCTCCAGGAACGAGGTGCTGGACAGCGGAGCGCCCAGCACCCCGCTTCTCGTCCACTTCGGACCCTGCTCCTGCTTCCTGGACCACTTCGCTTACGTCAGGAGGTGCTTAAGGTATAACCGAGTTTTTGAGTTTTTTACATATGGTACTTAGTTAAAACCCTAATAAAAAGAAAACAGGAAAATTTGTGTGTGAGTATATTCATCTCGATAAATACTGTAGAAACTGCCAATTTATAGGAATATTCCTTTCGCCGAGTAGAAATCAGCTAAGAACGCATTTTACGAAATTCCACAAAACAACTTTTTCCGGATCAGTTAGTATTATATGAATATAAATCTTCTGTAGGTATGTGTGTTTGGGACTGAACTCCTCCTAACAGCTGGACCGATTTTAATGAAATTTTTTGTGTGTCGATTCAAGAATGGTTTAGATTCACAATTTATTTATTTTTTTAAGTTGTGTGTGGATTTTTAGTCGTGTGTACAGGACAATGCCTGTCCGGTCTGTTAATATAGATAGACGCCAATGATGATGCTATATTATTGCAATTCCCAAATTTTTATTTCCTTTTTGTAATCTAATAATTTCTTGTATTTTGATATTTTTTGCGAATATAACGCATTGTTAAATGTAATTATTTCATCACGTTTAACTTCCATTTTTAATACCCTAACGACATTAGTTCATAAGTTGTTTGTAGCGCAACTCACGCTACAAACACTTTACTTATGAATGACTTTACTTAATAAAATATGCGATAAAACTGGAAAATGCTTGCGTTTAATAATTTAATCAATTATTTGCCTAATTGTAATTTGAAATTTATCTTCCCGATTCAATCTTATTAATTTCTAATATTTATTTCAGTTATTACGTCGATGAAAACCCCAGCGATGCAACGGCAAGGTCGTATTTGGACATCTCTGAATCGTTCGAGGATACGATAGAGTTTAACACAGCTAAGAGGAAAATGTCTAAGGCAATTTGCAGTTATTTAGGTCGGTGCGCCAAGGACATGTATTATTTTAAGTATCTATATTTCTACAAGCACGGAAACGACTGATTGAAAAATAAACCTTCGCCTATAATATTGTAGTTGTCTTTATTTTGCTCGAAAGCATGTTACTTGTTCGGTGGCGATTATAAACATTGTCTGTAACCTTTCGTGCTATGGATCATATCCATTTTGTAATTAATGTCGTCCTGGAAATTTATTATTTGAACTTTAATTAAAAATGAAATAATCATAATGTTATAGACGCTGAAAACATTAAGCAATACTTTACAGCATTAATATAGGCGGCTCATAGCGGCATAATGAAGTACGACTGTTATTTTTCCTTTTTCTTAATGAGTTATTGTCTAGTCAACAATAGTAAATACACGGTGAGCCTTTGGTTATCTCCGTAGAGTACAGACAATGCTTGTTAACAGAGACATTGCAAAGTTTTTACGCAAGGCGCTTTCGCCGTCTTTAACTTTTTTTTAACTCAACAACTGTAGTTTACTCGATTATTGCTTGACTTTAAACTGTTTGAGCCAAGTAATAGAGTTCCACCTTTAATTTTTTTTTTAAATGTGAAAACTGCTATGTTTCACCTGATGTTAATATAACCGCCGGGTCCTAATTACGAAATCGTTTAATACCTTTAAATATAGTAGGCGCCGGCTACCCCGGTCACCAGACGAAACGCAGAGGTGAGTGATATTCGTAGTTCAGGATGTTCACGATATGAAGTAGGTACATAAGATACTATAATATTAGGATAGTTTTTTACTATCCTAAGTTTTAGAATGTTGTATAAATTAAATAAAAATCGACACACAAAATGTTGCTTTTCAGTTAGACAGGGATACAAAATTGGTAAACTAATACGGGCCGTTTTCTACGAACATCAAATCAATTACATTTTCAGACTAACCACGAAATACTACGAATAATTGATAGGTAATTGTGTCATAAATAGTGGAGGTAATTACTCTACGATTAGCTCTAAGTCAATGATGTCACTGACTATAAAGTCTTGTGTATAAAATTAACCTTCCTGTTAATGTTAAGCGAACGTTTCTGCAATTCTTTTGACTTAAGAAAAAGAGAAGAAGTGCTGTTAAAGGGCCTGGCAGCAGCTACTGTATTTACGTGTATATATTCTTGCCGCCATCCATCAAGAGACGAAACGCCAAATGTAATACTTCCATTTCAAGCTGGTCTTCTTCAGATCTTCTTCATTTTCCCATTCGTGCAACAGCAGATACCGCTGATGATCTTTTTTGGTGTGTTTTATCGTGCGCGCTTCTTGTAGTTTGCTGCATCTACGAAGCTTATACCCAGTCAGATAATAGCTACCCCAGTCATATAATAGCTACCCCAGTCAGATAATAGCTACCCCAGTCAGATAATAGCTACCGATCGAGCCGAGGTCCGGCCCTCTCGGGCACCCTCGAATCGGAATGCTAAACGCGTGTTGAGTGACAGCCCAAGCCGGGGTCCCCTCTCGGGGACCCTTGAGCCTGATCATTTCATGGAGCGCCCGCCAAAGCGCCCTAAGAGCTTGGCAGCCTCCCAAATCGTGGCCTCAGTGGCTCATGCAGCCCAAAAAAAAAAAAAAGAAAAAAAAAAAAAAGAAAACAAAGAGAAGCTTATAAATCACCTTTATTGGCGGCGGAAAATGTATGGCGGGCGCACTCACTAAATCTTGATTCACATTATGACTCGAAGACGCATAGTGAATTCGTAATTTTAACGTTAAAGGTAACAAATAAAGAATCAAGTTACGGACAGAGGCTGATTTATTGCACTCTTAGAGTTCTGTCGAACACTCGGCTTCGGCATTAAAGCAGAGGTATAAAGTAGTCCAAAGATATCGCGCCGTTAATTTAGACCGCATCTTATTTATTATCCGATCGTGCACAACGCACCAATGAGTCATATAAACAAATGCAGCTGGCCGAATTTTCTCCGCTGCCAATGGACGCGTAAACAAATAAGCATGTCTTAATTCCGCCCACGCTGAACCTGCTATAATTATTTCCTTATAGGATTGGTTTCAGTTAATCATCCCCGAACTACGGGTTGCATGCACAATCGTCTTGTTTTCATCATTCTCATTACTTTTTTTTACGTGGGATAAATCTATTATGGATCCCCTGCCACTGGATCGGGAGAGTGGCAGGGGTATGTGGGAGTCGCGGTGAGAAACGGGTACCTACGCGCTAAAAAACCTGCGTTGCAACTGCCTCTGTCGCATCGGCCGGGGACACGGGAACACGCGGACGCAATCTTCCACGACCCCGGCGCGACTATGGTCTTGTTAGGTCTGCTCTACTACATGGAGCTGTGCCAGTGCAATTGGCACAGCACACGTCACGAGCCCTATATTGAGCGACAGACACCCTATTGTTTGCCGCTCAGGGTCTCTCTATCAGGGTGGAAGGTTGCGCGCCCAGGCCAGCCCCCTGCTCCCTGGCCTCCGGCGGCGGATCAGTATCATTACCTGCCCGAGCTTCTTCGAAATAAGCTTCTCCGAGTATTTAATGCTTTATAACAAAAGTCACGCCGCTGGGAAGACTCTGAACATAGACAAAAGTGCATTCCGACATGACCCCATTGCGGATTAGTGAATTTATTGTATCATAGAAATAATTTTTATTACCTCTTGATGACATAACTGATTTAAGGATATCGCAGTCGTCGCAATCTAAAATTTCATAACATTACAAATTACAGGATGTCTTGTGAAAAATATTGTACTCTTAACAAATCGGAATCATTTATATAAAATTGATTTCTTCTTTACTATTTTTATTACTTTCTTTCCAACATCCTGCTCATGTTCTCATTCTCCATCATCTCAAAAGTTACGTCTCTGTTAGCCTATAAATATGCTAAACTAATAGTATACTTTATTGTGCACCAAAAAATAAAAACAAAAAAGTACAAAAAGCAAAATATTTGTCAAATATTGGTCATCAAAAGGCGACCTTAAGCTACACAGCACTTTCTTGCAGGCAACCTAAGATATTTACCAAAAGGAATTGTTGATGGGTAGGATGTATGTAATAAAAAGTAAAAATATAATAAAAAGAAAGTAGCAATGACTTAAGTGAAGTATAGTCTTTAGCTTTTCGTCGTTTATGGTGACCAGTTCCCACTGAGTTTAAAGTGCACTCACGGATTGCGGCAATGACTTAACAACCGGTGAAGATTCATATACTTTTTCCTTGCCGGTTTTGCAATGACTCTAATAATAACTGGAAATTAAATATGACCTAAGTGTTCATTCGAAAAGTCTTTGGTAACTATCATAGGCTGAAAAGCCTAACTTTTGATAGGCTATATATTACTTTCTTTTTGCACTATAGATATTTTAGAAAGTTTTTATTATTATTGACTTTTCTTCTTTTTTTCAACCGATTTAAAAAAAGGAGGGAGGTTCTCCTTTGGGAGGAGGGAGGTTGAATTTTTTGTTTTTTATCTCAGAACTCTATCATTTATGTACTGATTGGTATTAAACCTTGCAAGATAATCAAAAAGTTTTACTTGTGTCTTTGGCTAAACACAAAAATCTCGTATACTTTCTAGAATCCTGTACGTTTCGGTGGATAGCGTTTTCCGCTGTACCGAATTGGATCGATTTCGAGATTCCCCATTACCGAGTGACATCAGCGTTCCTAATTAACTAACGGCCAATTAACAGTGGCGTAACAGAAGAATTGCCGAAATGTTACTCATGGACGTTATTCGAACGATGCTAATTGAAACAGATAAGGTTTTTCTCGTATGCGCTGCGTTCGTTGAATGCAGTGATACTCGTAAAATAGATGCTTCAGCTGTGGTGGGCCCACGTAACAATCTTCGCTGTTGCACGAATCGACAGGCAGGCAGCGGGGAAGCATCACGGCCTCACAGAATGCCAATTTGAAGTGGTAGTATTATACTTTTGCGTTTCGTCTGGTGAGTGAGGTCGCATGTACCCAGTACCTTTTAATGGTTGGCAATGCATCAGTCAGGTGTTGCCATTGCTTGATATCAGCTGAAACGTCTGACTTCTAACTTTTCATATTAAAAAAATAATTAATTCCTACTCCCACACTAACTAAAACTTAACTCATTTAAGCGTTCTCACGTATAATAGTTCGGCGTCTTACATGATTTGTAAATCAGTGACATCATAGATCGATACGACGTAAATCCCTTCAAGAAGTGAACCTGTTCTAACTCAAAGTCCGGCAATGCATTTATAACAATTATAACATGCATTTATAACATACATATCTCTAGAGGAGTTAAACTCCTCTAGTGATATGCATGCACATAGGTGGCGTCATTTATCATGAGGTCTCTTCCCCTAAAAAACCCAGTTGCTAAAAACAAGTTGACAAGCGATGCAACCACCCTTGATTATCCAATTAAACCGAAGTTCGATGAAAAGGGTCAGAAACTGTCACTAAACAGGCTCGTCAATAGTTTTAGCTTACCCATTCAGGGTCAAAATCGCTGTTTGTTTATAACACATCGATCACGCATCCCGTGCCACCTTGGCTCAGATAAACGGTTGCGTATGACTGCATTGTTTCGCGTCGGCGTTCATCAGCATGTGTCACGGATTAGCGAACAGAATGAGGTAATTGGCTATCGGGCAGGTTCCAGAACGCACTTTCGCAATAAAAAACTGTAAGAGTGCCTCAATGAAATGTGCGGGAAGTCGATGGATGCAGGTGGCTCAGGACCTAGCTTCGTGGCGGTTATCGGGGAGACTGATGTTAATGTCTCGCCGCCCATGAGTATCAACAACGCTTGAGGGGTCATCTCACCCACCATGCGAGACGCAAAAGTATCCTAATACATCCAAATCAGGTTTCTTCCGTATATGGTACTTCTTCAACAATATCTGCTGTTTCGTGGGGATGGCGGAAGCTGTTGTGCGGATGATACTTTTAAAGATCTATTCAAGAGACATATTTTGCTTTCAGCTACGCCTCTCTATATCAAGGCTCGAATATGATTTTTAGGAAAAGCTAGATATTATAACGTACGCACATTATGTATGTATGTATGTAGTTACAATGAGCAAAAGTGACATCTCTAGTTTTCAATATATCATAATGAAATGCCCTATGAAAAAGTGGTCATTTACCCCAAAGGAAAGGTTGCACCAATTATTGCTTGCAATGGAATGAAAACAGCAGCAACAAAGCAGATCAAATACGTACTTTTAAGTTAGCGTCGGGCATGTAACCCAGAAGACGAAGGTTCAAATCCACGCGGAGAATAACTTTTCGTCAATTTTTGTACAAATTTTAAAACCCCTCTTAACCTTTTCTAACTTTTATGCTCGGGAAAGTAGATTATGCCAAGTTGTACGGATGAAAACGCGTGATATAAATATATAGATAAATAGAGTCACGTAGCTGGGAAGTAATAGTGTCAAGAAAGACAGAAATAAAGCGCAAGTATTTATACATTTGCGATTCTTCTGGTGAATGACTTAAATAGAGCCCACTCTATTAAATGTTGCCATAACAAGATGCCCACGGGTATTGTAGCTATCCATTGGCAACGGTATTCACATAAGGTAGGCGTTTTAAGAGTCTGCTGGTTTGTCACCTTCGCACAGATGAGGCATATAAGCGTTTTTGTATTCTACATTTCGGTAGCATGCCATTGTCATGCTAACGACATGTCATGTCGTACAAACATGAA